GATCCCAGGACCCTGGGATCATGACCTGAGCCGAAGGCAGACGCTTAACGACTGAGCCACCCAGGCGCCCCGTGAACTTATTTATTTATTTATTTTTGCCCAAGCCAAAAAGCAGAGCACAAGTTACAGCATTTGCTTGCATCTATTCCCCACCTACCTGGCAGCATCTGGAGGGTAATATTCATATTTGGAGTCCTGGGGATGGTAGATGTTCAAGATATGTTCATCAGCCATAACTGAATTGTAAGACCTTAGGCAGGTCACCTCCTCTCCAGGTCTCAACTTCTTCATCTGTAAATGCATATCCAGGAACACCCACTCCGGCTAAGTAGGAATAAAACAAAGTTAGTACAGGGCTAATTGAAATACTCATTAGATAAGTGCTTTATGTCAGCTTTATTGTTTTTGAGGACACAGTAATTAATATGAACTTGGGTAACAAGGGAAGTTGGACAGAATGTCGTTGGAAGTGCTTTTAATCAAATATTTTAAGTGACACATAATTAGCACACTGTTCTAAAGCAAATGGGGCCTTCACAGGGATAGTCGTTCCCCTTAAGTAATTTACCGGAGAACAGAAGCCAGATTAAATAGCAGGGCCATACAGACACAACATGTGCCACTATGGTCCAATCCATATACGACACCAAAAGATGTCCGCCTCCTACCCTTGTAACAAAATGCCAGGTTACGATAGGCTGTCTACAGCATGATCCCAATTTCATAAAGTATTCATACCCACCTGTCTATACGGGAGGAGGGATAATTTTAAGAATGGATGTTTACACTTATGACGAAAACCAAATAAATAAAGTGATTCTTTTAAAAAGGAATGGATGTTTTTTGCTGCATGGTGTGGGAAAGTGAATTTATTTTCTGCTTATTCTTTCTACAACTAAAAAAAAAAAAAAAGAGCTACTTTCATTGGTCGAAGAGGACGAGGGCGAGGCTCCCCTGCAGGGGTCTGGGGGAGGAGGACGGTAGGCGGAGAAGAGCTGAGGGCTGGCTGCACTTCCCCGCGACTGCAGGGAACGGGGCGGGGCGCGGAGCGGGGTGGGCGGGGCGCGGAGCGGGGTGGGCGGGGCGGAGCAGCGCAGCGGGGGCGGAGCAGCGCAGGTCGCCCGCCGCTCGGGCGTCCGTGATCTGGAAGGCGGGGCGGTCGGGCCCCGGAAGGCGGCTGGAAGGAGCCGGACTCCGGGGCATGGCGGTGCCGGGCGCGCTGCTGGTGATGGGCGTGAGCGGCTCGGGGAAGTAGGTCTGGGAGGGCGGGGGGCCGCGGGGGGCGCACTGGAGGAGGCGGCGCGCGTGGCGGAGGCCGGAGCCGTCACCGTTCCGGGCCCGCGGGGTACGCAGGGTTCTGGGGAACCTCCAGCTTCCCTTTGCAGATGAGGAAGCTGAGGCCCGGGGCACCTGCTCCGTCTCCCCACCCTCCAACCTGCCCGTCCCGGGGCGCCGAGACCCGGGTTCTCCATCGATGCCCCGAGAGGCTCTAGCGAAAGCCCTTTGTGAAGAGGCGCCTGCTGGGGCGCCGCCCGCGGTGGCTCCGGCGGTCACTGGGGCCGGTGTTTGGGAGTCTCTTGTCAGAACGCGGTGGCAGGGTGCGAGGTCCAAAGCACAGGGGCAAACCTCGTCCCAGTCTCCCACAGACCTTGTCAGGCTGGGCGGAGCGGCAGCTCCCTCCTGCGAGGTGCCGGACTTTCGTGATGAGTTTTTAGAAAGGCAGTTTCACCTGCTGGTCTGTTTTCTTTGTGCTGCGATCAGCGTTTATCAGCTTTACCTGGAAGGAGTCACTGTTAATAAGGAGTCACAAAACCCCCTAAGGATTTGCAAGGAGGAACACTGGATGCCACAAAGCCTCTGCCCAGCCCAGTCTGACCAACCTGGGGGCTGGGAGCTAGACTTTGGCTTTCTGATTAGACCAAACTCTAACTGTGCCCTTTACCGGAAAAAGCAGCTACTGCAGCATTCCGCCACAGGCCCAAAAGACAGATCTTAATCAAGTGAAATATCGTAACTTCAAAGGCCTATATACCCTTCTAGAATTTTCTGAACCACGAACTGCTTGTGTGGTCAAGTATATATTAAAGACTCTTTCTTGCTCCAGGTAGGAATGTTTAGGTTTTCAAAATTGTAGCATTTTTAGCTTCATCTCTTGAGAAATTAAAATAATTTGGGGAGTCTTGGAATAAAAGTAACATAAAACATGGAGACTGAAAATCCTTAGCTGTTGTACGAGTTGAAGAAGTTGAATGTAAGACTGCTTCTATGGTGTGATGTAGTGGATGTCAGGAGCCCAGGGTCTTGGTTCTGCTGCTCCTGCCTGCTTGTGTGAGCTTGGACAATTTATGTACCCCTCTGTGCCTTGGATCAGATTGAGGGCGGGGGTCTGAACCATATGCTTTATATGGTTATATTCATGCATTCAGTAATTATTTATAGAGCTTGATCCTGACTCCGTGTCACTGATATATAATGAATAGGACAGATAAAATCCCTGCCCTCAAGAGAGTTTACATTCTAGTATGGGAAACAAACAGGAAGCGAATAAATACATGTACATAGTGTGGTAGGCAGTGGGAGGTGCTCCAAGGGGAAAATAAAGGAGAGTAAGTAGAACAAAGAAGAGCAGGCAGGATGGTGAGGGAAGGCTCCTCTAAAGCAGTGGTATCTGAGCAAGACCCACAAGAAGTGAGGGACTAAGCCTGGTGGCTAGCTAGGGAAAGGGCAGTATAGACAAAGGGAATATAGCAAGTGCAAAGGCCCAAAGGCTTTGTTTCATTGTGGATTACCAAGGAAGCCATTGTGCTGAGTAATGGGAGATGAGGTCAGAGAAACAATGAAGGCGAGGAGAAGTGGTCATATGCCGGAGATATTCTGAAGGCAGAACCAGAAAGATGTTTCGATGGACTGGATGTGGGGCATGAGAGAGGGAGAAAGGTGTCAAGGATGACTTTGGGATTTTTGGCTTGGGTAACTAAAAGAAGGGAGTTACTACTGACTGATGGGGAAGCAGTAGGCAGGGCAGATTTGGGAAAAAAAATAGCAGAAGCTCAATGTGGGATGTGGTGAATTGCCTATCAGTCATCTGAGTGGGTTGGTCAAGTGGTTGATTGGATATCCAAGTCCAGAGTTCAGGAGAGGAACTTTAGATATAAATGTAGGAATCCTTGGTGCGCAGATGTATTTAAAGACATAAGACGTTGAGATCACTGAGGGGGTGAGTAAAGATCAAGAAGCTGGCCAAGGACTGAGCCCTGGGCCCTCTGACCATCGCTGACAGACTGAGTAATAAAATGAGAATGATTATGTCAGTCAACAGATGTAGCAACGTTGAGTTCTTTGGTGACTTTTGTGAGCCCTTGTTAGGGCCTTGCTGGATTTTAAATTATACTCCATAACATTTGAGAGGAAAAAATATCTCAAGAAAACAACAGTCTCAAACCGGTAAGAATGTAGTTAAACCACTGTTAGAACAACAATGTCAAGCATTTACTTATTTACCATGTTTATTGCCTCCCCCTCTCCTACCTGAATGCAAGGGATCTTTTTGTTTACTGCCCTGTCTAGAACAATGCCTGGCATGTAGTAGATGCTCAGAAAATATTTGCTGCCTCAATGGATGAATGAACAAATGAATGAAGGGAGCTATTTGAATAGGTGGCAGTGTTAGTTTTCTTTATGTTTTAACAGCCTTTGTGAAGACACCCTCAGCTTCTGGCCTTTTAAATATCTTTTGCATTTAATCTGTGCCCCAGCCAACCACCACTGTCCTACAGTCTTTCAGTCTCCTTGATCCTGATTTAGACCAACCTGCTTAGAGACCTTTGGGCTCCAGACTGGCTTGTAATGCTTGCTCCAGCCAGTCTCCTCTGAGCCGAGCACTGTGCCTGGAGTTCCTGTCTGTGTCCATGTCAAGTCCTGCTGTTCTCTAGTTCAGGAGGTTTGGATAAGCAGTAGACTAGACAGTGGCTTTTCCTTTTCCTTCAGTCTCCTCCCTGCCAGTCTACACCCAAATCTGGTTAGCTCTTTTTTTTTGTTTTGTTTTATCAGTGCTTTTTATTATTATTATTATTTGTATTAACATATACTGTATTTGTTTCAGGGGTACAGGTCTGTGATTCATCAGTCTTATACAATTCACAGCACTCACCATAGCACATACCCTCCCCAATGTCCATCACCCAGCCATTCCATCCCTCCCACCCCCCTCCACTCCAGCAACCCTCAGTTTGTTTCCTGAGATTAAGAGTGTCTCATTGTTTTTCTCCCTTTCTGGTTTCGTCTTGTTTCATTTTTCCATCCCTTCCCCTGTGATCCTTTGTTTTGTTTCTCAAATTCCTCATATCAGTGAGATCATATGATAATTGTCCTTCTCTGATTGACTTATTTCGCTTAGCATAAGACCTTCTAGTTCCATACACGTCGTTGCAAATGGCAAGATTTTTTTTTTGATGGCTGCATAATATTCCATTGTGTACATATATATATATATATATACACACCACATCTTCTTTATCCATTCATCTGTTGATGGACATCTTGGCTCTTTCCATAGTTTGGCAATTGTGGACATTGCTGCTATAAACATTGGAGTGCACATATCCCTTTGGATCACTACATTTGTATCTTTGGGGTAAATACCCAGTAGTGCAATTGCTGGGTCGTATGGTAGCTCTATTTTCAACTTTTTGAGGAACCTCCATACTGTTTTCCAGACTGGCTGCACCAGCTTGCATTGCCACCAACAGTGTAGGAAGGTTCCCCTTTCTCCACATCCCCACCAACATCTGTTGTTTCCTGACTTGTTAATTTTAGCCATTTGTCTGGTGTGAGGTGGTATCTCATTGAGGTTTTGATTTGGATTTCCCTGATGCCGAGCGATGTTGAGCACTTTTTCATGTGTCTGTTGGCCATTTGGATGTCTTCTTTGCAGAAATGTCTGTTCATGTCTTCTGCCCATTTCTTGATTGAATTACTTGTTCTCTGGGTGTTGAGTTTGATAAGTTCTTTATAGATTTTGGATACTAGCCCTTTATCTGATATGTCATTTGCAAACCCATTCTGTCGGTTGTCTTTTGGTTTTGTTGACTGTTTCCTTTGCTGTGCAAAAGCTTTTTATCTTGATGAAGTCCCAATAGTTCATTTTTGCCCTTGCTTCCCTTGCCTTTGGCGATGTGTCTAGGAAGAAGTTGCTGTGGCTGAGGTCAAAGAGGTTGCTGCCTGTGTTCTCCTCTAGGATTTTTTTTTTAAAGTAACAATTTTAATTGCTGCTTTATTAAAGCAATTTTTTATAAACATTTCTATCATATTTAAAAGGTCAAGTTCATTCAACTAAGAACCAATTAGAATATGTGACAACCCTAAATCTAATTTTTTAAGTCTAATTTTCTGGCCAAGAAATTAAAGCAAGGTTATCCATATAAAGACACAATCCTAAAGATCATAAGCCTTGGCCTAGAGAAGGCTATGCAGAACTGGTGGGGGGAAAAACAACTTTATAGTTTTCCAGCGAAAGTTCGAAGTTTTGTTTTTTGGGTTTTTGTTTTTTTTTTTTTTTACCTCTGCATCACTGCATTTCTATTTAGATTAAAAGGTGCTAGAATGTTTCAATTTGTATCTTCTGATTCTGTAAGTCCCTCTATAGTTACCCACAGAAGTTACTACATTTATAAATACCAAAGGTGTAACAATTCTCAAGTTTTCTAGATTACTCCAATAAAATATTTTAAGTTTTCCTATGATTTGAGTATCTGTATTGTCTCTGTAACAAAGCTGGGGGTCGGCATTATAGATACATAAACATAACAGTCAAAAACAAGTCCACTTTCCTGAACAATAAGAAAAAGCAATGATGGTAAATCTCGAGAACATAGTCAATTTTCTAGGATTCTTCCCTTGAAATTGTGACATTTGATTTCCAAACACATGCCAGAGCGTACATGGTTCCCAACTGTACTAAGTAGGTGAGAAGCTGAAATCCTAAAATGTTCATCTTCCAACTTTCCCCAGTCTGTGGTCTTTGGATCAGCAATAATTGCCTGAACAGCTACTATGGCTTCATTAATTTTTGTCTGTAGCTCTCTGAGTTCTTCTATATGCAGCAATCGCAGAATTTGAGCAGCTTCATTAAGAACTGCATCTCCTGTGTCAAAACCAAGAATATGTTTGTCTAAAGCAACAGGCAAGCCCTCTTTCGTTTGATTTGCTTTAGCAACTGCATCCTAGGTCAGGCGCTCCTGGACCAAAATGTGAATTGCCTTAAGCATTACCAGGTAATCATCATGACGCTGAATCTGAAGAAGGTTACCCAAAGCCATTACACCAGCCTTAAAATCAGGATTATTTACATCCAAGTTGATCAATGGCTCTGCATTTTTAGCTGCATTGTCAGCATTTTTTGTATTACCAGGTACCAAGTCCTTGTATTTTTCAGCATTATCTCCATATTCAAGTCTAACAGCTAAACCAAGAAGCCAGTCAATTGCTTCTTGTCGATCTTGAATCTTGAAAGGACAGTTAACATCTTTGAGATACTTTTCAAAGAACTTGGGCCAGTCACTGCTCTGGATGTTTCTTAAATTACCTCTGTCTTCAATCTTGTAGTGTCTGATTTTCTGGTCTTCAAGCCAAACAATAAAGTTTCTAAATTCTGTTTCATCTTTGCAGTTGAAGCCAGCCGGGTTGTGGTAGTCGAGGCCGTCAGCTTGCATCGGAACATGGTCCCCGCGTCTCTCTAGGATTTTGATGGACTCCTGTCTCACATTGAGGTCTTTCAACCATTTTGAGTCTATTTTTGTGTGTGGTGTAAGGAAATGGTCCAGCTTCATTCTTCTGCATGTGGCTATCCAATTTTCCCAACACCATTTGTTGAAGAGACTGTCTTTGTTCCATTGGACATTCTTTCCTGCTTTGTCAAAGATGAGTTGACCATAGAGTTGAGGGTCCATTTCTGGGCTCTCTATTCTGTTCCATTGATCTATGTGTCTGTTTTTGTGCCAGTACCATGCTGTCTTGATGATGACAGCTTTGTAATAGAGCTGGAGGTCCGGAATTGTGATGCCGCCGGCTTTGCTTTTCTTTTTCAACATTCCTCTGGCTATGCGGGGTCTTTTCTGGTTCCATACAAATTTGAGGATGATTTGCTCCATTTCTTTGAAAAAAGTTGATGGTATTTTGATAGGGATTGCATTAAATGTGTAGATTGCTCTAGGTAGCATTGACATCTTCACAATATTTGTTCTTCCAATCCATGCGCATGGAACGTTTTTCCATTTTTTTGTGTCTTCCTCAATTTCTTTCATGAGTATTCTATAGCTCTTTTAAATTGTGAGTGGTGCCTGATGTGTCCATCCCTGGCTCATCTTAGTCTTCAGTGTACTTTCTGTCATGCACAGCTCTGGCTTCCCCAGCCGTGGAGTTCATCACCAGTAGGCTGCAGTATGTCTCCCTTTGCAAGCTTCAGCACAGTGAACCTAATGGGAGAAGTTACAGTCCTTTGCAATCCTTTGGTTACATCAGGGAGGTCTCAGTTGGGTACACATGTGTCTTTAACAGCTAGCTCCCTGAGACCTTCTTCACAAAAGAGAGACAGGACCCTTGAATCCAGCTAGAATGTAAGCAGGGTTTTATTTTCATTATTTTCATATCCTGGGGACTAGCAGGTGCTCAGTATTGGCCGAGTGAAATAAGTAGTGAGTGGATACATGTTGCTCAGTTCCCCCGTTTTGCAGGTGAGAAAACAGGTGTAGAGAGAAAGGTGACTTGCACGAAGCATGTGGCCAGCTGTTAGGTGCTGAGACCCAAGCCCTTCTCCCCAAGAGTGCTGCCTGCTAGGGGAGCAGCAGGTCCTTACCACATGCACCGCACAGAGGGCATTTCCCTCCCAGGCTGACTTCTCATTCCGAATCTTATTTTATTCTTTAAGAGTGTGTCTCTGTTAAACCCCAAACAAGGTGTCAATGCTTTTTTTTTTTTTTATTCTTATGTTAATCCCCATACATTACATCATTAGGTGTCAATGCTCTTATGAGCTCCTTTGAACCTTGTGCTAAGAGGTTAAACCCCGTCGGACCCCTCCTTCCAGTACCCTCCGTAAAAGCTCATCTCTATTCAGCATTTTTTTTTTTTGCAAAATATAATTATCTCTAGAACAGGGAACAAAAAACTTCAGAAAGAACTTCAGGAGTTTAATGAGATCTTATATATTGCTTTCTGGAAAAGAAAATTAGTGGTAACTCAGGAACTTTAAATTCCTGGAGAACGCTAACATCATGCTCTGGACTCCAGGGCCGAGAGCATTACCGTCACTGCTTCAATATCATGAAATTACTGGGTTTCAACATGGCGGGGTGGCTGTCTCCCAGGACACCCCGCATGGTAGGAGGCACGCATGGGTTGGGAAGGGCAGTCACTTGAACCTCTGTGTCCTCTCCACAGATCGACCGTGGGCGCCCTGCTGGCATCCGAGGTAACCTGTTCCGATGCCTCCCAATGGCGAGGCCCATTGTGCTGTCTCTTTGCTTCTCCCCCTTGGGCGCCCCTTCTTCTGGCCCATCGTGGTTTGTAAAACTCACCACGGATGTGGCTTGTGAAGCCCAATGGAGCAATCTTGGTTTTCTCCTTGGTGATCACCAAGAGTGATGAATGAAAGGAGTAGCAACCCAGTGAGCAGGGATAGTGACGTGGCATCACAGC